CATACAGTCAACAAAGGTGGTACTTATAGAGAAAAAATTGCAAGAATTTGTCAGTACACTTTTGATAATTTTAAAGCAGCAGTAGACGCTGGTTACATCATTCATGATCGTGACATACATCGATGGGCATTGCAAGCTCAAAAGATTATAGGATCAGAAGATGTAAGATTCAAAGCTTCGGATAACTGGCTTTGTAAATTCAAGAAAGCTCATAGAATAGTATCCCGGAAAATAAATAAGTTTATAACCAAGAAAACACTAGAAAGTAATTCAGAACTAACGATTAAAGCAAATACTTTTATTGCTGATGTTAAAGCAGGCATAAGAATAATTGGAATTCATAATGTGTTTAATTCTGATCAGAGCGGATTCCAACTGGAAATGCACTCCGGAAGAACGCTAGCGGTTGAAGGAGAAAAGCAGGTACAGTGTTTAGTACAGTCAGTTTCTTCAACAACCCACAGTTATACTATACAGCCACTCATATCAGCCACAGGAGAATTACTGTCACCACTCTTTTTAGTTTTGAAGGAATCTAGCGGTGAGTTTGGACCCATTGTTGAAACCACTTTATTTAGACCCGAAAATGTTTACGTAGAAGCATCTAAATCTGGAAAGTTGACTACAGGTATACATAATCCCATCTAGTTACAATTAATGTCATTATAAATGATTTTACAAATAAGATTTTTGATTTTAGATCTCTTTAAAATATGGCTGCAAAAAGTATATTTCCCTAATGTAGGTTCCAATACGATGCTGTTGCTTGACTCCTGGAGCGGTCATTGTGACAGTGCCATAGAAACTGTTACTCCACGTGATAAAATTATAACTTTTAAAAAAATACCGACTGGCACAACGGGAAAAATTCAGCCACTTGATGTTTTTGGATTTCGCATATGGAAGAACTTTGTCCGCCAATTTTCAGATACCGTAATTTTGATGAATTATGATTTGGATTTACATAAATAAACAACATTATTAAACTTCAGTCGTTAGTCCACAATCAATTATCTTCACCAAGATATACTAATCTTTTTAAATATTCCTGGTTCAAGAGTGGTTACCTGACTAAAAAACCAGAAAATTTTGACAATCCTGTTGCTTACAGTTTTGGAGATTCCTGCAATACACATTGTGACATAGAAGGATGCAAAAATGTGGCTATTATACGTTGCGGTTGGTGCAAAAAATCATTATGTTTCGAGCACTTCTATGAAAAATATCATTATTGTAAGAAGTATGAACAATAAATCCGTCCTAATTTTTTTGATGGTTTTTAATTGGTAACTGAATGTATTATAGTAACGCATATAAAAATCAATTAAATATATATTACTTGGCAGTTTACAATTTTAGTCATAAGAAAGGAGAAAAACTCAACCAACAAAAACAATGGCAATGCTATCAACCCTCCTAATCACCGAATGGCGATGGTAATAAACCTCCCCCTAATAACCCTCCTAATATCCCCCAATGGCATTGCTTACAACCCCCCATTAACCTCCTAATAACTCCCCCCCCAATAAGACCCTCCGACTAATAACCCCCTAATAACCCCAGTAGTTAGCAGGGTTGATAACGTTGCCATTATGTTATTCGGTGGTTTGCAAGCATTGCCATAAGGTTGCAAGGGGGCTCAGCTATGTCTTCGGGCTATTAGTGGGGGGCTAACGGCATTTTCATTGGAGGTTTTTAGGAGGTTATTAGGGGGGGTTGTAAGCATTCTGATAGTGCGGGTTAGTGCGGGAAATTGCCATTGGGATATAAGGGGAGTTTTAGAAATTGCTAATGGGTGATGGACCTTTTTTCCGGACAGATTCGGAATCGGCGCAACAAAATACTTTGGAAAAACGTTGTCCCAGTTCTGGGTCTTGTTGGGTGATATAATCTTGAATTGGTACATATTTTTCGTATTCTATCCACGATAATAATTTTTCCAATTTTTTAAGCTCATTATGAACTTTTTTTCAAAAATAGGAATGGAGAAGGTAAAAATTTCGATGACATAAATTTGGGGTTGCAACCCTCGTGGTCGAAACTGCACGAGATAAATGTGTTTGTACATTATAAGTGATGAGCAACGTATTTTACAGTAAATTATCAACACCACCTGTAATGTATTGGAAACAATTTTTTGGGGGTGGTTTTTCAACATAAGGGGTGGTTTTAAAAATAAAAGGTAAATTTTTTTTCTTACTCTATCCACGGTAATATTTTTACTAATTTTTTCAAGCTCATTATGAACTTTTTTTCAAAAATAGGTACAAAGAAGGTAAAAATTTCGATGCCAGAAATTAGGGGTTGCAACCCTTGTGGTCGAAACTGCACGAGATAGTTGTTTTTGTACAGTATAAATGATGCTTAACGTATTTTACACTAAATTATCAACACCACCTGTAATGTATTGAAAACAATTTTTTAGGGGTGGTTTTTCAACTTTAAGGGGGTAGTTTCAAAAAAAACCTTGACTAGATTAACTTTATTTTTGTATTTTATGTAGGGTAATATTTTTTCCAATTTTTTTCGGGTTATTTTAATTTTTTTCATAAAAATAGCCATGAAATAGATAGTATTTTAAATAAAAAAAATAAGGATTGCATCCCTTGTGGTCGGAATTGCATGTGCTAGTTTGCTTTTCACATGAGAAGTGATATGAAATTTGTTTGGTCGTAAAATATCAATTAGATGCTGAGATACATTGGAAAATCTATTTTTGGGGGTGAACTTTGAGGGTTGTTTTCACCCCCTCAAAGTGTTTTTCCGCCGATAAAAAAAAATACGTATGTCTTATTTTTTGATGAACTATAACATATCAAAAGATTATTGAAATCGGTGAGGTCGGGTCGGGGGGGTTTCCTTGTTAGACGACTCCGGAAATACCAAATTTCGACATCTTTTACTCTCCATGAAAAGATATATGCCAAATATATATGGTTTAGACGTCTCCAGGTTTAAGTGTTTTCGTCAACATTCTTCGTAAAATTCCTTGTTATATACCTGTGCCAGGTATAATGGAGTTGATCAGCAGATCTATCTCTCAAAGAATACTAACTTCGTAGCCAATTTTCTATATTATCATGTAGTATATTTGCGTCAACATCATTCTTGGTCTGTACAAAGTTTGGAAACTCGATTAGCATTTTATCACCAATTACTCTCATCATATACGTCAGAATCTTCGAAAAAAATGCCTATGCTATTTCGAGGATCCTGATTTTGACTTTTTTTATTCAATATTTTTCATGATGTCGTCTAAAATGAATATTTATTATTTTGAAAGTTGTATTTATTTCGAATTTTATTAATTTATTGTATTTATTATTGGTATTTATTTCGAAAGTTGTCTAAGTCATTTATCTATCGAAAATCGTTTAAACCGTTCTTATGTCAAGATCGCCTTAGACAACGTCGTCTAAGTAGGAAGAAGTCGTCGAAGACGAGTAAGTGTCTGGAAAAAAGTCATCTAAGGCGTCTCCGCATACACATATATAGTTAAATTTACATATATATATATGTGTGCGTGCGTGCGCGTATTTGTGTATGTGTGTGGGTGTTAATATAATTGAATTTCTTTAATTAAAATTTATTTTTTACATTTTATGTTATATGCATACATAAAAATGCGTCTGCATGCAAGAATTCTGAACAACGGGTGGTCTGTCCTCTGAGCTTTTTTTTAATTTATTCCACTCGCGCGCTCTATTCGCGTGCTCTCCCTCTTTATACAGTGTTTACTACGCGTATTCTATCTCTCTATCTGAAATGTTTTCCATAAGTACTCTGCTCGTGCACTTTATCTTTTTCTAACATGATTCATTTGTATACTTTAGCTACTGTTCGGTGTCTATTCAAAATCGTACACTCACGCATTTCTGCCATGTGTCATGGAGCTACTTTGTTCAAGTGTCATTTGTGACACTATGCTGTTTTACATTTTAGTACAATATTTGTATCATGTTATGCTATAAAATACTCGCGTTCGCGTTTTCCTTTGTTCTAGCATTCCTCTAACATCACCGGCTCTAATTTTCCTTATATGTTTCACTCTGAATTTCTGACAGGAGAAATCGTATTTTTTTGTACTTATTTTGTCAACACTTAATTTCTATTCTTTAAAAAAAGGCACTATTATTCAACACGAATGCACTTAATTGTTCTCTAATTTTATTTTCGGCACCGTACTCTAAACTCACGTAAACAAAAAAACGCAATGCTTTTGTTACACGATCTCTCGTCGAACCTTTTTTTTTAAACAATTCATTTATTTACTCACTCTCATTGGCATAGATTCCTCCGAGCTCCAAAATAAAATCTAGGTAACACACAAAATAAATTTATTTATCCAAGATGCTCTCAATTGATCATGAAAACTCGAAGTGCCGCGCAGAGTACTAATGAATACGTATCATGTATGCCAGAGTATGTGCACTACTCAGACCTACAGTACATATATGTACATGCAAGTATATTCTTACAAATTTCATCGAAGAGCACATATTTTCAATAACGTGAATGACAATTGAATCTTAAGCTTGAATGAAAGTTTAGTGAGCTGTCTGTGCATACTCGAGAATCGTAATTTTTTCAAAAAATTCATAGCTTTCTTTATGAATTCCATTTTAATACTTTGTGATTAAATAATTTAATCAAACTTGCATCGATTTCGATACTTTGTTATGAGTAAAAATGTTTATTAGTATTAAATAATCTATAACTTTTACAGCCTTCCTATCTGTTTACATGAGATGGTAGCAGAAGATCCTATACTTACGGCTTGCGACTCTGACCGCGAGGAGCGCTGATGCGAACTTTTCCCGTCCTAATATTGTACTGTTGTTAAGTGTGAGTTTAAAAAGTAATAATTGTTAACGATTTAAGATTAGGTCTGCTTTAATTCAACATTTCTAAAATAAGAACGTACGATAGTATTACATATTTAATTATATTAATATATAGTAAAACTTTTGAGTTAAAGAAAATTTGATTTATTATGCGATTATCCGTATTTATTATGTCTATCCATATGATATGGATGACGAATGACGTCTCCATACATTGTCATAAAATAAGGAGACATTTATACACTATATATTAAGTAGAACTTTTTTAAAAAGTTGGCTGTGAAAAAGTATTCTGGAGATCGCTAAATATTAAGGTATTATTCATAAATATAGATTGATTACATAAAGATTTGTTTATAGTTAGCAATTCTGAGGTTTTCATATTATATAGTGTCATAAACAATCTTTAAAAAGTCAATCAGTGAGTGAAAAAATAGTGTTTTTTCCTTAAATTCATTTCATTGTTATCACAATGCTTGAAGTATCAATAAATATAAGTGTAGAATAGATAAAATAACTCAAAAAAAGTTATATTTTTCAATTAGTCTTTTGAAAAATGACTAATAATGGTCTTTTGAATACTCATGTGGTGATCCAAAACGTAAAAAAGTTGTTTTCATTCTAAAATTTGAAGAAAAGGATGCAATAATGGCTGGTGCAACTCAAATATCTGGAGGACTTAGTAAATTGAAAAAAAAACATTTCCGTGTTAAACATCAAAAAGTTAAAGTATTTAGAGCGAATGAACCTTTACTTAGTGTTTTTATGTGGGGTGTTAATCATACAGTGAGTTCATTGCTTGATTTATAACATGAATTAGCAAATTAATCATGATTCTTTGTCTAAAATATCCAAACATACTTCAAAAATTCAAATGATAAAATAATTAGCAACTAAATTATATTTTTTAAGTTTTTCATTGAGGCAATAAGCAATATTTATTTTTAAATTTATAAAGAGGACTATGTGATTATTTTATCATAATGTAAGTTAAAGTTATGAGATAAAAATCAATAGTGACTCAAATATTTGTATTACATGATATAGTTATGTACATATACATGAAAAATATTTGGAATAATATGAAACTTGTTTTAATATAGATATAAATTTGTTGATATTCCTTTTTTATTAATTGTTTTGTTTACCTAATATTATTTTGTGTACGTTATATTTTTTTTAATAATGACCATTGTATTCCAATGACTTCATTTTATTTTATCTACTATAAGTTACAAGATTCACAAGTATCTACTGATACATATAAAATAAACTTAGTAATTTACAGTATCTAAATATATCTTATTTGAAGTATAATATATACAATTGTACATAGTGTTTTTAGTGAAAATTATGTCATACTTTTTCATGCTTATTATAAAGAATCTTTCTACCATATACCATTTTAAAATCATGTTTGGAGATTATTTTCCATTCAAGTATTTTATACATGTCAAATAATCATTAAATAGCATGTAAATTGATAAACTTGAAAAAATTTGCTATTGCATTAAAGGTTTTAATGTCAAATCTATTCATATTTTCTAGTATTACAAGTTTTGGTCAAAATCAAAATTGAAATTTAGATCTTGAAATGGTAAAATTTCATTTTCAAATAGATGTAAATATATTTATAAGATTTTTAAAAAGAAAGAAAAATAAAAAATAATGATTTTTGACTATTCTCTTCATAAATTTAATATTGCCTAAAGGACTATTATAAAAATTATAATTATAAAACTAAGCAAACATAATCTAGAATATTGACAAAATTATTAGAAAGAAATAAATAATTTTGCAAAAGATAATGGTGTCTGATTGACAATACTTTTCCCTTTTTTTTGATCACTAAATTGACGATGAAGAAATATGTTACATATTAATGTAAATGGTTCATATATGTAATAAACTGCATATTTTTTTGAACAATATCACTGATTCAGAGTAATGAAATTTTTTATAAATATTAATTTAGTATATTTTTAATAATATTCAAATGTAGCTTATGAATATGTTGTATATTGTATTCTTTGCGTGTGTTATTTATATTTAAGAAGTAAATCATGATGAATTTTAATTATCTCTTTAAATAGTAAGGTTTTCAAATTTTCAATTTTTGTAAATCTATACAAGGATCGTTATATATTGGAAGGTAATATTTGAGCATCATCTGATATAGTATTATAAGTTTTAACATTATAATAAGTTCCTATAGTTAATATAAATGGGTTTTATTTGCTCTTTTGAATTGAGTATCTATAAATAACAAAGACACAGCAATGGCCACTTGAATCAGTCATTGATGGAGTGAAAAACCTAATGACTAAGCATACATTTTTATGTGGTACTTTCATATTCTTTAGTTTTCTTTATTTTATAAATTAAATTTGACTATATATATTACTGTAATTTAATTAAATATATCTTTTATATATTTTTTAACATAAATTCACTGTCAGATACAACAAATACAATTATAAAATTTCTTATGCTTTTCTTAATATCTAAGATGATAAAATTGGGTATGTGATTTTAAAATTTTAATATACAAATAAAGTATTAGTCGTATATTATAATTTAATATTATTAAAATATATTTTTCATAAATTAATTAATAATAATTAATTGTGTCATTTTTGTTAAAACTATAAAAGAGTTATTTCACTAGCTTTGTTTATTGTGCTTTGTATACTCTTTATTTTTTATTTTCATATTATTTATTGCATTAATTGAATCTTGGATACCAAACTCGAAATTTACACATAAAAACACACACATGTACAAATAAATGATTAAATAATAATTGAACTGTTACTTACCACTCTGCAAAAATTACTAAAATTTTATTCATATTAGAATATTTAAAAATATTGAAAATATTAATTTAAGGATGATTAGTATTAGTAAAAAATTTTATATTGGTGTATTTTTCAATTACTTAAAACTTAATGAATTACATATTTTGATAATTAGTTTTGATTACTTGCTTACTTGTTATAATAAAATCTTCAGAATTAAATTTTTTGTTTCTATTTTATTCCACGTTTACATTTTCTTACTTCCAACCATGAAAATGATTATATTACTTTCAATATTGCAGATAGCATTTATTAATAATTTTAACTTATTTCTAAAACGTAGCTTCCTATTTTCTTCAAAAAACTTACTGTTTTCATATTTTCATTCTTAATTTGTCTTATAGTTGTTATCCACATGAACCTTTTATAAATAGAACTTACTATTGTACTATAAATTATTTACTTTAACATGTTGTAACGGGGTTTCGCTTTAGCGACTTTCCTCGATGATATAAATGACAGGTCAAGCTGAAAATTTGCAAACGGACGTTAATAGGCTCGGTACAGATTCTCTCCAGAACTTTTGTCATCGGGGTTAGTAGACTGGAATCTTTGGGTATAAGGCGAAAAATTGAAGCGAGATCGCAGAGGAATAGTGCAGTGAATAATATTTATATTGTATCAACAAAATTACAAGCAGTATCAGCAGCGAGGTAGAGTGAAAGAGAGAGGTCCTCAAATATGGGTGTAAGCGGAGAGAGAGATAGAATTCGGACTGGTACATACAGTATTATCCCTGCAATACGCTCGGTCTCGTGGCAAGCGCACGTAGAAACCACCTCCTGGATTCGCAGTAGGCGAGGAGTACGAGCAGAAACAAACCAGCACCCACCGCATAGACAAGCTCCGAAAACAATTGCACAACTCGGTGGTACGACAAAAAATCCACGATGGAATTAAGGTTAGTCGAGTGAAGAAACAGGAATGCACATGTACTCGTGTCGATCAACAAAATTGTTCTGTGCGCTCTCCTTATAGCCCGCCTAAATAGAGTTCCGTGTATGTGTGTTTGCGTACGTCTACGCGATCCGCGCCTTGCCTCGACGCTTATGCGGCCATATCTATCCTGTTCTATATAGAGGCACGTTGAGAGTGGTAAAACATGAATGTGGGCGAGATGGCTACTCGTATAAGTACGTGGCCAGGTAACCCTTGCTCCATATCCAATGGATGCTGGTGTTGGGGCAGCTGGTCGCCTTTGTAACGCTTGTGAAATAGTAGACGTTGCCGTAGCGCACATTGAGCAAATCCATGCGGAGCCCAGCTCAATTATCGCAGAGACGTGCAGCTTTCGGTTCACGGAAAGCCGCATGGTGGACAAGTAAAGTAGTGGAGCGAGTGCGAACTCTACCTTGCTATCTAGCTCTTTTTTCTTGGCCGCTCGTTCCAATTCGACCTATCTTCTCTTTTTCTCAGCCAGGCGATGCTGGTGTTACTAGATCGACGGCGTCCTGGACTTTCTCAAGAAAATCTCCTTCTAAGGTCCAGGCATATCGATCATAGCGCTTGGCGAATGCCAGGACCTTGGCATAAGCCGCATCTTCCCTCTTGACAGCCGCTATACGGGTGGGGCGAGCCTTCCTGGCTTCTGCCACCAGTGGTGCTCACTATTCCCGGGTTGCTTCCTAGTAACACTCTTCCGGGACGACTCCTTTGATTTCTTCGTCAGCGAGAGTTGGGACTGGAGGGTTTCCCGGATACGCGTCAGTTGTTTGTGACGTCGTCATTTTTGTCACCGGACTAGGTGGCTGATACCTTCTCTAGGGCGTTGGTGAGCCGGCCTAGAGAGATGGTGGTTTCTACGGTAGTATTAAGCCGGTCGATCACTTGGAATATATCCTCGAGCGTCATTTGATATCTAGCGGGGACTGAGGGTCCAAGGCGCTGAGTAGCTCGGTCAAAAACCACTGCACTTTCTAGAAATCTTCCTCCTACAGGAGAATAAATTATTTTGGGATCAGAGACGTGATTCTATATGCGAAGAGTAGGATTGGCTTGCCATTTGTACGAATATATATTGTAATATATTCATAAAATCTCTCTCAAATGTTTGGTTGCTAAGTACATTTGTTTATTAGACTTAGTTTATTATTTTATTTTTCCAATCAGTCCATACGACGTACTGATTCTATACACACTGTTTCTGATTTAATAAATACGAGGGGTGTTCAAGAAGTAAGGTGACTTTATGGTTTTTTCAAAAATATTTATTTATTGGTCAATATTTATGTTGTCCCGTTCAAAGTAATCCCTGCTATAGGTATAATACTCTTGTGCCAGTGCTTTTTCCAATCATCGAAGCACTCTTGATAATCATTTTGAGGTATAGCCTTAAGTTCTTTCAGCGATGCAGTTTTTATCTCCTCAATCGTTGAATATCAATGTCCTTTCATGGATTTCTTAAGTTTTAAGAAAAGAAAAAAAGTCACTGAGAGCCAAATCCGGTGAATTTGGCTTGAATTGAATCAGGCTGTAGCATGATTGGTGTTGGTTTTGACCAAAATATCTCTCATAAGCAACGATAAATAAGCAGGTGCATTATCGTGATGCAAAAGCGATGAATTGTTTTTCCACAATTCTGGGCGTTTTCTTCGTATTGCTTCTCGCAAACGGCGCATAACTTCAAGATAATACTGTTTATTGACTGTACGTCCATACGGTAAGAACTCCTGATGCACCACGCCACGGTGATCAAAGAAGATATTGAGCAAAACCTTGACATTTGACCGAACTTGGCGTACTTTTTTGGGTGTTGGCTCTTCTGGGGTCTTCCATTGGGACGATTGGATTTTAGTTTCGATATCATAACCACATACCCACAATTCATCACCAGTTATAACCCTTTTGAGAAAATCAGGATCTTCATTGACTTCATTCAATATCTCCGAGCGATTGTCATGCGACAATTCTTTTGATCAAAATTAAGCA